ATGCCAAATGTGTTAAAAGCCCTGTATAGCAACTCCCAAAAATAATAACCAATAATTTGTATATTTTTATTTATTAATGTATATAATATATAAATTTTTTATATATTTGACTAGCGAATATAATTATTTTTGATCGGTCAGCCAATTGTATAACTTACCCTTTCTTTTACCTAACTAATGTTTTTTGATAGTTAATATACTACGAATTGAAAAATATTTGGGCCGTTGGAGGGAAGGGCTCATGGATTTCAAACTTCAAGGCCCAAGTTCATTCTACCTGAACAAATGGACTCCAAATTACCCAAATTGCAATTTGAGTTTCTTCGGCTAATGTTGAGACCACTTCCCTGAGCTGTGAACTGTGTCTTCCGGCGGCGAAATTGAGTCGTAAGTTCCTTCTAGTTATTTATGCTTTTTTGCAAGCTCATGAATTCTTATTTGCTTATCCATTTGATAGTGGTTGTGTACTAATCATCAATGTTCTGAATTGTTGTCTAAAGTAGTAAAACGAAAACGACAGTAGAGCCATAAAAGATGAAATATGTATCATTATACTTTAGGGTTTCTGTAATTGGGAAGAAAAGGCATGATTTTTAAATCCTTTACCTAATTCGTATTGATTATTATGACAGTTATAACATCCAAACCTAAGCATTTGGAAGATTAATGATTTCTTTTTTTTAAATTGGGGAAGGGGATTACAAGGTGGGGAATTAAACCCTCACCAACAAGGTGAAAATTTAGGTATCCCACCAACTTCACTACTAAGATTCTCCGGAAAATTAATGAATTGATATATCTTCAAAAAATTCAATTCAGTGAATCCATAGGGATCCTTGGGTTAAGAGAGAAAGTAAGTTTGCTTCTGTTTTAGCCTGACTTGGCGCGGGGGCTTTAGATTTGAAAGCACAACTGACACCAATATGGAGGGGAATGCTTGGACCTGGGGTTGAAGTGGGTGATTAAGACCAAATTTTGGGGGTGGAAACAACTCTGCTGGGGTTGGGGGGGTGGGAGGTGGACTGGTATCGTATTTTTCTTCATTAATGAAATTGACTGGGATATGACCTTTGGTGTGTTTTGAGAATAAGAAAGGGAGGGGGAAGTAGAATAAGAAAAAGAAGAATTGAAAATCAGGCCTGCTAGAATGGGCTTATAAATCAAGTGGGGGCAATCAGTTGGCAAAACATAGGGCTGGGTTGGCTGATTGCTTTTATAATCTGTGAAAGCATCCAGTTGGGCGTGCTGCATAAGTGAATGCGTGAGCGGAATTGGCCAACGCTGTGGGATGCCAAGTGAGAGGAGTGACACCATCCTTTGCTTACTGGAAAGGGCCAATGCCTCCTGTGTGAGTTGAGGGGTCTTCTAATAGGAGCCCTGCTTTTGCTTTTCAAGAAGAAGGAAGCCAAAGGTGTCCCTGTGACTTTTGAAGGAGGAAGAAGAAGATGAAGAGTAATGAAAGAAGGGTTTGGTGTTATATTCCTATGTTGTCTATGAATGAAACCTCTAGTACATAAAACTTAGAAGAGCAACTCCGTGTTCGTAAAAGTTCAAGGGTTAAGTTACAATGGAAAAAATTGTCAAGGCTAGCTTTTTAAAATTTGGAAAAATTCAAGGGTCTCCGTTGCACCAAGAATTAGGATTCAAGACAGATTAAGCTTATCAGTGTTTAAACATTATAACAAACTTTGTAGTTTCTGCAGCTGTGAAGTTTTCCTCATCTTGTGTAGGATCATTTTAGTAAGTATTTTTGAATAAGTGGACCATTTTTAATTTCCCTTTGCCATAATTCAGGCCTAAACCACAGGATAGGACCCCTCTTTTTTCTGATTGGTGAAGGACTATGAGTATTCTCCTTTTGGGTGTTTTTTATCAGGTTGAGCATTGTCAACCCCACCAATTGGACTCATATGAGGCAGTATGAAGTGGTTTGAGCTGGCTGCTTGTCTCTGTTAAAACTTATCTTTACTTCCTAAAAAATAATAGAAAAGAAAAATGTACTTATTATTACTTTTGATGAAGTAGAAAAGATATATTCGGCACATTTGATTGGAAATCGGAAAGCATTTTGTCTGCTCTCTTTCTGATGAATCTCTTTGTTCACTTTATTATACCTTTTTCATCCCTTTATTTTTGTTCTACCAGAGTCAAGTTTGGTTTTATATGATTTTTGGTCTAGCTGATTATGCTTAATCCGGGAGTTCTGCACAGCTATAATATGCATATCCTGCTAATTCTTGTCAGGGCTGATGGATCGACAAGCTCCTGATTATGCAGCTGCTATGGCATTTGCTCAACAGCAGCACCAAGCAGCAAACACTCAACAGCAACAACAGTTTGGTTTTCATCCTCAACATCAACAATTTCCTCCTTCAATTCACGGTCCTCCATTTCTAGCCCCGCATTCTTCTCTTCAACAGTTCCCTTACCCTCGCCCTATGCAGCAACCACAACTCCATCCTCATACGCCCCCTCCGCATCTTCTTCACCTTCAGCAGCAACAGCAACCGCCTCCTGCTTTTCCACCACACATGCCTCCTCACCTTGCTCCATCACCTTTCTTCAATCCGTATGATACTCCCCCGCCTCCTGCTCCTCCACCATCTGATCCTGAACTCCTAAAGCGTATTGATAAATTAATTGAATATGCTGTCAAGAATGGTCCTGATTTTGAAGCCATGATTCGTGAAAAGCAGCAAGATAATCCTGCTTACAGTTTCCTCTTTGGCGGCGAAGGCCATTATTACTATCGCTATAAGCTATGGATGGCTACTCGGCCCCCTGGTGGGCCTTTCAATCCTTCTTTCCCATCCTCTTCTTTGCCTATGATGCATCCACCAAATCCTATGATGAGTCCATCACCCTTAACCCCTCCATATAATGCCTCCAATGCTTCCGCTGCAATGTCAGGTCCACCCCATTTGCATCGACCCCCTTTCCCACCATTTTATGATCAGCATCACTCTCAGCCATTTAGCCGAGCAGATCATGATCATTCATATGGGTCTTTCAGAGGTCTATCTAGGCCTCTTCCATCAGATGTTGAAATGGAGCTGAGTAATGTTCTAAATAGTCTTACTGGTACAAAAGAGTCAATTAAAGGTGCCAAGAGTTGGTTTATGCAGAGATCTCCATTTGTACCTGCTTTGGCTGAGGCACTCAGAGACAGGGTATATTCTGTAGATGATTCTGAGAGGCAACTGCATATAATCTATCTTGCCAATGACATCTTATTTGATAGGTAACATTTCATATCTAGGTGCTTAATGATTTACTGCGGAATCCTAGATATAATAACTCTGAATTCTCCTTCACTTTTTGTCTATGCTTTCCTTTTTCTTTTTAAACTTCTTCGAGTGCAACATTTTTTTTATTGCTTCATGTTATTGACTTTCTCATAGTAGCTAAGCTACATCAAGCTCGCCTCTACTAAATTGTAATAAGAAGGAAAACAGTTGAGTTACTCTTAATGAATAGCAACCACCCTTTACCTCTTATTTACAGATTCTTTTGGGCTAACTCTAGTGATTAATGCCTTGCTCTGTACCAACCTATAATTTTTTTGTCATATTTTGAACATTATTTAGCAAAAACCTAACAAAGATAGTGCAACAGAGTGGAGATGGTGCATGCTGGTGTTTAGGATGAAATGCTTGGTCTTTGCTTGTATTAATTTGTTATTGCTGGTTTCATATTGGTTCAAAGGTAATAGCATTGGCAGTTGGGGTTTGTTGGATGGTAGCAATCTTGCGGGTAGTTTGATGTCAACAGGAACTGATGAAGTCTGAAGGATAACATCCAGTTTGAAGGTGGAGGTAGTAGTTGTTAAAAAGGAGGCCAGGTGGTGGTTGTAGTGGTGTGTGCACGTAAGAAACCTATCAGAAAGTAGCTATATAGGCATCATTTTTATTCTGATCTGTTCAATGTTCATTGGTTTTGGAGCACATTCCCTTTTGCCAGTCTGAATTCCCTTTATGTATCCGCTTTCTAAAAAAACTAGTTCCTTTATGTATAGAAGATTGGCTGTCTTTCGTAGAAAACCAATTCGTTTTGTAGGTTTTCTGCTTTATACTGGCACTTTTTGCCCATACGTTATCAAAAAAACCTATTGGGTTTGATACACTTCATTCTCTCACTATCTTTTTGGGCAAACCACCTTATGCTTCATTTGTTTGTACTTAATGAGGGTCTGAACCTGGATCATTCAGATCTTAAGTCATTAAGTGCATTTGTTTTTTAAAGATTCTACCACTTATTGGGTCTGAAGAGATCTGATTCGGCCGGATCTGTGATGGAGTCTTAAAACAATTCAGACCTCTAACACGCGTTTGACAAATAACTTTCTTCAACAAACCAAGGCTGATTTTAAACGCATTTCTTCCACAACCTTCATCTGCTCTCCATTCTCTTTGTAGGGATAAACACAACATTGATTCTTATAGCTTTTGTCAGACCCCAAGATTTCAATTTCTTCCATCTGTTCTTCTCGTGAAGAGGGGTTTTATACGGTAGTTAACATATCCATTGAAGATAAAGAATACCATGGAAACTCCAAGCCTGACAATTTGGTTCTGACATCAAAAGATTACTAAATGGAAATCATGATAAATTGGATTCCTTGACCTTCGATGATTTTGGTTCTCTTCTTTTTAGTATTGTTCTCTTATTCCGCAACAAATTTAGATGCAATGTTTTCTTTTTTTGCTCTGAAATTCTGATGGGTTTGTGTGAACTCAACACATCAATGAGGGGAGATGGGGAAGAAAGAGGGAAGGGACAAGATTGAGATTTGAGAGAGTATCCAAATATACACTCATTTGATGGTGCTCTTTAATCAAATCTTACTTTTCTTTTTGATCTAATTAAATCTTTTTTCTTGAATATATGTGTTGTTTGTACTTTCTATACTTTCAATTTTATAAAATAGAAAATGCCCGTTTATGTTTTAAATATTTCATATTTTATCGAGTTAATGGTCTTCTTGTTATATTAATAAATTTTCTCGAATATTTTATTGACGTAATATTTAATAATATTTTTATATGTAATAATTTTAAAATAAAAATAAATATACAATTATACATATTCAGACGTTGAAAAAACAAACAGTCTTAATTGTTCAGTGTTCAAATCTAAATGTAATATCTTACTATTTAGATGTGCATTCAGATTCAAACATCTTAATCTTAATAAAAACAAATGAGGCCTTACCCTCCTTACCAAAGAAAACGAGATGACTATATTCTCATTTTATTTTCTGAATTATGCAGCTTGCAGCGACGAATCAATCCTCTTGAGCTTGACAATGAGGCACTTGCTTTTAAGCCTGTTTTGGGTCCCATGCTTGCAAGAATATACCACAACCCTCAAAACAAGGATGAAAATCAATCTCGGCTACAAAAAATTCTACAGTTTTGGGGTACGAAGGAGGTTTACGATCAGGATACTATCCGTGCACTTGAAAATGAGATGATAGGTGGGCAGCCTGCAAATTTTTCTGTTACTCCAAAGGAATTAATCATGACAGATCCTTCTGCTGGTGCAGGTAATTGTTTTGCTAGTCTAGCTGCAATCAGGGAATATCAGAAATTTCATAAACAACATCTGCATCGTTAGTTGCAAATGTGAACATATACCCTCGTGTATTTCTTACAATTTTTTTACTTTTTTCCTAGGATTAATGCACCAGGCAGCAAACCAGGGTACTTTACAGTGGAAGCCTGACCAGCAAAGTTTAGCAAATTTAGCTGATCAAGGCAAACAAGTTCCTCCTATACCATCTGTAGCACCACAGCAATTTCATCCTGGTGCAGTTCCGCCTACTGGATTTCCCGGGTCAATGCCTGTACCATCTTCTGTTCCACCAGCAAATCTACAACCTGCAGCTCATCTGACACCTGCATCAACTGCAAATGTAGGTGCAAAACTACCTCCATACCCCTTGTTCCCTCCTGGTCTTATTCCTGGTATGGTCAGGAAGATGCAGATTGGTAGTGGGGTGCCTTACTCTCCCATGAGCCCCTTGGATATCCCCACCATCGTACCACCATCCACTGTGTCAGAATCTGAAATTCTTGAAAGAGTGTCTAAATTTTTTAAAGAGATTGGAGAAGTTAATCCATCAGAAGGACCTATTAAACAATCTGATTCAGCCAATGATTATGATGACTATGAGAGAGAGCCTCCTGTTCGCAAGGGAGGGGCTTGTATTCCTCCCCCTCCTAACCTTCAAGTTGACCCTGAAACTGGGACTTATGCTGATGGAAGTGTGGTGCAGAAACCTGGATCGAATAGCTCAGGGCGATTAGGACTTGGAGCCACTGCTGATCCAAACGAGTGTAGTCAATATGATGACGTTTACACTTCTTACCGGAAAGAGAGAAGCACCAATTATCATTCATCAATGAGTGTAAGAACTGCTGCGAGGTAATTGAGTCGATAATGTTGACTATTCCTGGAAGGAGTATAAAGCTTTCATGGCAAAAATTTTGCCCTTCAAGCTACAGTTGAGTGGACAAAAGTTGTGCTTGTCTATTTAAGTTGTAAATTATGATGAATATTGATCCGACATTGCAAACATGTAACGAAATGAGCTAGCTCTATCCCTATCTTTCTTTACTGAACAGCTAGTTAGCTGTGTTATTTGATCTTTCATATGTTTTTCTTCTATTTCGTCCTATTTTTTCTGGGAATGACGATGCTACCGATATTCTTGGCAGAGATGTTTTACAGGGATATTATGTTTGTCATACCTGTGCTATTATTTGTTCCATGGCTAATTTCATGTGAAAATGTGATGGCGAGTAGTATGGGATAGGTTGTAGAGGACACAAAATGACAAAGTAGGTGGGCTGTGGTAATCAGTCCAGGATGTTAGGCGTTTAATTTTATAAGAGTTCACTCTGTCAAGTCAAAGAAATTTAAAGTTAATGTGACTAATTTTTGTTCTAAAAATTAATTAAATTGGCTCAAACAACCAAATGCAATAATTAGTCTAGCCTTAAAATCTTTCTCATAATCTAAAAGCTCTCACGTAAATTATGTATATTATCAGACGAGTTCTGTTGAAATTAAAAAGAAAAGGTGGAGAAGAGAAAGAAAAAGGAACAAGAAATGAGAAACTGGTATGAATATTCATCTCTCGCTGAATATATAACAGTGAACTTCTCAAATTTACCACCATCGGCTAATAAAGCTCTACTATGGTTCACAATAATCAGTCACATGTTTTATCTTATATAAGGGTAAAGTACCTTAATAGAACAGAAATTGTATACAAGCGTGAACAGCATCAGAGTAATAGCTAGGGACTTTTTATACAGTGAGCAGTTTGCTAAAATCAGCACAAACTTTCTACAGGGATTTCCACTAATTCAAACACAGCTTAACAAAAAAGGAGTGGTAACAAAAACTGGCAGAAGAAAACAATTGAAATGGCATCCGAAGCATAATCAACAAGATGTTAACCTCTGGACATTTCAAAATGCATCCCACACTCTTGGTTCCTTTGTAAGTTTGAACTGTAGGTAAGCAGATAACTTAGGCCATAGTGGAACCAATTTAGCAAGTTCCTAAATTTAGACAGCCCCTTCTCCTTGACTATTTTCAGATCTTTCCAATATAACCTCAATTACAAGTTCTTGACCCTCAATTCTTGAGACAAGCTCACAGGTGACGTATTGAAACAATCTCATCGTCTTGATCTTCTGACACTTTGGCCTTCTCCTCTGACTTCTCCTAGCCGTGATTTTGGAGCACTCCCCTGAATAATACTAGACCTTTCAGGAATTGTAGCACAAGGATCTCTAGAAGGCCAAGGTTGCTCCCACTGTCGGATTGGACTGGAGCCAGAACTAGCTAATAGATGATCCTTAAGGCCCTTCACTGCTTTAAGTCGATGTGCTTCATCCAAATAACTATATCTTTGTCCTAGTTTCTCGAGTTCATTAAGTCTTTCCATGTCTAATCTATCTCCTGAGGTTGGAAGATTTGCAGCTTGATTTACATACTCAACAACTCCACCAGAAATGCTCCTTTGAATGGGAGTGCTTCTTCTCGGCTGTCCAGAGTTGGAGTTTCTTGCTCTTCTTTCATCGACTGAAATTCGTTTTGACTCGCGAACGATATCAGATGGATAAGCCCAATTGTAGCTCTTATTGGAATTGTCCATGTTTAGTTCAATTGAATGAAGATCACTTTCTGCTGAGTCTTCCCCACAGTCTGCAACATTCTCTACTTCTCCTCCATCATCTTCTTTTTCTTCATTCTGATGTAATAGAGCTTTACTCAAGGATGCTGTCACCTCTTCATTATTTCTGAAATTTAGAGAACTATTTCCCCTACCTTTGGCCTTTTTCTTTCCCAGGAATCCTTCAAGTTGCTTCTTTAGCTTGTTAATAGCAGAATGTTTCTCCTCAAAGTGATTCTTGGCCTCTGAGAGTTTTGTGTGAGCCCTTTCCTCGCGCAATCTGTCAGCTAACTGGAGCATCTCTCTTTCCTGTTCAATCTCTTCTTGAACTTTTGCAGATTCCTTCTTCATCTCTTCTACTTCAACTCTGTCTNGCTCTGTCTTCACCGATGTCTCTAGCTAATTCGTCGCATACCTGTTCCATTACCTCTCTGGCTCTCTTCTCGCTTTCAAGCTCTTTCACTGCCTTCATGAATGATGCTTTTGTATCCAACAACTCTTTGCCGAGTTTTTTGTTCAAGCTCTCAAATCTCCGCCTTAGCTTTCTCTCAACCTCAAGTTCATTTGCAATGGATTCAATTGCAGCCTCAACGACCTGTTGCTCTTTGTTTTTCCAAGCCGCTTTCTCTTCAGCGAAGCATTTAAGGAGATAATTAATCTCATTTTGATCTGAGCGCTGTTCTTGAATAAGCTGATTCACCTGCAGGCGGGCCCTTTCAAGCTCAGCATGTAATGCAGAGACAAGAGATGTGCTAGATGAAGGTTGATCAGCATGTGCCCAAATTCGATTGATTATTTTTAGAAGCTCTTTGGATGTTGTCAAAGCGTTACTAACATCCTTCAGACGGCTGCCAAAACCAGCCACTGATCCCCGTGGAGTCTGGGCACGAGACCTGGTCTCGAGCTGCATTACAGATTGATATAAATTATCACTCTTTTTTAGCAACCTAAGTATTCATAGCCAGTCAATGCATTTCAAATCAACCCTTATAGGACCTAACCATTGATTTCCATGTTTACTTGCACAAACACGAAGAGACAGTGTGTGACAATACGCTAAAGTCAATATTAACAAAAATTGCATGCAAATGAAGTTAAAGGACATAAAGAACAATAAAACATCAATAAAATTCATCGACAGGAAGGAATTGCTTGCCACCTCCATTAAACTGGCGCTGCTTAAAGAATCTAACATTCCAACATTATGGTCCGTAGTCCTTTGTTGTCTACGGGAAGTTGTTGATGCCCTCTTCTGATAGCTTCCTGTTCCAGATCGATCCATCCTCTGCACAATCAATGTAAGGAAGTATGGATTACCAAGAATGAACTTACATAACTACGATCGCCCCACTTGTCACTATGCATCAAAAAATGAGTGCGGTATACCCCTATCAAGCGGAAAAGAGAAGGCATATCATCATCTCTGAAACTGCTTGTCAAGGCCAAGACCTTTTTTTTACTCAGTAAATAGGGAGTAGCTTGTCAAGGCCAAGTCTTCTTTAGTCAGTAATAATAAGACAAATATTAACACAACCACAAAACCTCCAAAGATGATGTCAACTGTCAAGCAGCAACTCTTACATTATCAACAAAGCAAGTCCATTCTATAAATTCATTTTTATTTCTATTTCTATCTCTGGGATTTAACAGAATGGTCAGCCAGAGAATGAGAATGTCACTTTCACCATATGTAACTTACAATCAATCATATATTAATATTTGGGAATTACTTATAAATAAATACTAAGTACTACAAATATTTGAGAATTTGACTTAATACACACATCAAAAAACGTCATTTTCTCTAGATTTCCAACAACCACAAGAAACTAATCAAATTCAATTCACCAAAATATAGTTCCTACATCACAGACACAATACTCTGCAAACTTTCAATCTAAAATTACGTTTCAAAATATACCATGAAAGACAACAACAACAACTAATCTCACAAGTGGGGTCTGCGATGTAATGTGTAAGTACTCCTACCTGGTAAGATAGAGCGGTGGTTCCCGGTAGACCCTTAGCAAAATATAACATAAAAGGGCACAGAATAAAAGAGACAGCTCACCTCAGAAACCGGGCTATGAGATGGATCACACAAATGGGGAGGCAAATCGCCCAAAACAGAGCCCGAGCCCGAATGAAGGCCCCGCAATTTCTCCTTCTTCAACATCATCATCTTCTTTTTTCCCAAGTCATCAGTCATTCTAGGGGAAGGCATTTCATTCATCTCCCACAATGTGGCAGCCAATTTTCTAGCTGAAACAGGCTGTGATATCCCACCAAGTGACTGTTTTGGTGACTCAACAACATTTCTTAATGGAGTAGCCCTCCAGCTTGGCACTGGTGTACTGGATCTGGACCCTCTAAGCCCGGGCCCGAGCCCGTTTCTACCTTTTCCAACTAAAATAGCCCGCTTAAATCTGTAGTTATACACTTTTGATGATGCAGATGAAGATGATGAACAACCCCTTTTGCGGATCTTGGGTACTAGACCCTCCACCATAGCTTGATTTTGTCTTGGCATTATCACTTTCCCTTCCCAAGATTACTTCTTTTTGCAAAATCTGTAGGATCCGAAGTGAAGTACATACAAAAAATGCTAAATTTTAGAATTTATGAAATGGGTTTTCAAGATCTTGATTAAAAAACTTCTGGGTATTAAAAAAGATTGAATTTTTTCACTTGGGTATTGATAAAAGATTGAAATTTTTTCACTTGGGTATTGAGCAAGATTGAATTTTTGAACATGGGTATTCAAAAAGAATGAATTTTTTCACTTGGGTATTGAAAAAGATTGGATTTTTATCACTTAGATGTGAGAATGACATTCAAAATGGAAAAGGGTAAAGAAGGGACAAAGTGGTGGTGGAGACAAAAATGTGTTTGCTGTTCCTTTGATTTGAAATGATGCATATAGAGAGGAGCAATTAACAAAGTTATGACAGCTTGACTTTGATTCAAATCTTTATATTTTTTGTACTAGTATCAGTAACTAGTACATGGTAGGCATAAGTGTATCCATAGGAAGATTGGTTGGTG